CACACACACACACACACACACACACACACACACACACACACACACACCCACACACACACACACACACAGACAGAGATGCACACATAATGAATGAATGCCATTTTGTCCCTCATGAGCAGCCTAGCTGTGGATGCTGAGTGTTTTCCTTTCACTCTTGTGGTCACTGAGAGTGTTTGGCTGTGCTCTGCCACTCCTGCAGGCCCTGTGCTATGACTCAGGGATGTATGCTACAACATGTGATGGGAGTTGCTATTCCGAGGACAGTCTGCCCAAGGAAAAAACACGACAGGCAGAACTTGCACATCAGGAGAGCCTTGATGCCTAGCTGCATTAGCCTCGATCTGCCCCACTGACTGCTCCCCTGTCCCACTTACGGTATATTGAAGCCAGCCAGTCCTCTCCCCCTCTCTTCATCTTTAGTCTTGGCTTCATGTCTCCAGGGCACACTGTGTAGCTGGGTTGGTGTTTGCTGCTGCAGCCCAATCCATGAACCAACTGATCATTAGATCGATCGATAATTGAAGCTGTTCAGAAATGTGATTCATTTTGTTACTGCCACTGGCCACTGGAAGCTGTTGATCAATCAATATTGGTGTTGCTTAGTCAAGGAGTTCAATTATTTCATGGGTCAGGGGTTGCATTGGTGTATGATAACGGTAGTGGGTGGATGGATTGATATATTGATGGATGGATTGATTGATGTATAGTACAGATGAATATACTGTAAATGTGTATTTTTCCTTCAAACTGTATCAGTATTACTCCTACAGAGGAAAAATTAGACATGACCTCATTGATGTGACAGCTCCATGGTGATGGCACACTTGACTGGCAGTGGCGCCATAATGTAGGCCAGCTCTATTTATGAACATATAGTGAAACATTAGGAGTATGAAAAGACTAAAACAATCATAAAGCCTATAAGTTAATAATCAGCTCTACCAAGTGTATTCCCCTTTATTCTGCTTTGTGATATGAAATATTAAAGTCGTACCGTGGCTATATGTACTGTAAGTATTATTCCAAAGCCTAGAGGACTATAGCTGCTGGCTCACTGGCTGCCCTCATATTACTTTTATTTAATGATAAGAACTCTATTGTGCCGTTTTTGAAGGATCACTGAGTTGAAGGAAATTGGCTCAGACAGCAACAGAAGAAGAGATGCAGACAGTTTTCCAGACTTGCAACATCTCTCATCCTCTAACATCCAAAGATCTTCCTCTCGCCTTCTGTCTCGCTGTCTGTCTCTCTCCGGAACCATCAGAACCACCAATAGAGATCTGTAACACAATGCAGCACACTATTAATCTTCAAAAGACCCATTATTTAATAGTGCACTGGGGAACTCAAGCCTCGCCAGGTCGCAGATGAAAGGGGAAATGAAATGAGCGGCACACAGAGAGCCCTGTCTTCATAATGCTAATGGAATGAGCTGACAGGCTGAATGAAGTAAAGGGAGATGTGATTATGTCTGGAGGACAGACAATTAACCAGCAAAAACACAACAAGCAGCAGTGAAGCAATCAACAGACTTAAACAAGCCACCAAGCTGTTGTTTGACAGTTGACTGTAATAGTGTTTGTTTTTCTATTATTCCTTTGGTGAACTTCAGTGCAAGATGATTTTATTTAAATGTGTTATTTTAACAGGGACAAGTAGGCTACATATAACCATACAGACAGTATATAAAGCCTGGCTTGTTTACAACGTCCCTACAGTCTACAGCTGTGCTAGCTGCCTGTGCCTATCCATATGGTAGATTTTAAGATACTTTACTGGATAAGTTTTGACGTTCTGGTGGCACGAGAGGAAAAGTCAGGGTCCCAATAAAGTTATTAGACTTTGTCCCATGGGGAGCATGCATGTCAGTACTAAATGGTGGTGATGAGTGTAATCCTCAGTAATATAACACATCCTCTCTATGGTGAATATGCTGTCTGATGTCTGTCTTTACCTGATATGTCTTTAGTTCTATTTGTCTCACAGTTGTCATGGACAGAAAATACCTTTCGTAAAGGATGAGAAACGCTACTTACTGAATTTTCAGTCTAACTTGAGTTTGAAATAATTTCAGTCATGATGCATTTTGAGTTTTTGTGAATAAGGAGTTCCACATATTGCTCCTCTCAACTGAAAAAAACATCTATCCAAATTTGATTTGAATGAAAGGACATCTTACAGTTCCCTATCGGTGCACCCTGAGCCCCTCAGGATCCAGGTTATTTAGACGTTCAGGATAAGTCGAATGAAGTGATCAAAGCTGATTATTTAATTTGTTCAAAACATGGAAGTGGTGAGATCTTATTAGCTTCCTATCCAAAATTCCAATGTACTGATTATTGTAGAAGCTGCTTGCGACCATGACGTTTCACAATAACTGTAATAAGATCATGAAATGCAAAATATATTTGTAGCATATTCTCTGATGAGTGTAAATGTATTTGAATTGGCTCTTGAAACTTTCCTCAACATTTTTATGTCTCAAACTTTTGATGGGAATCGTAATATATATTTTTCTCCCAAAGCCTGTTCAATTAAAGGTTTATTGACCTTTATGTAAACTTCCAACAAGAATCAACCCCAGAATTAAAAGCAGAGCATATCGTCTGTATTTCATTTGTCTGCTGTCTTCTGCAAAGCGATCATGAATCTTTGGAGTATTTATTGTCGGCTTTACTTGTTGTTCCTCACAATTTAAGCAATCCAGCTGCCCCACATGAATCTCACACCTCAAATCATCCAGATATTCACACACACACACACAGTATTTTGTGCCACGTGTGCTGCTGTTGG